ATTTCTGGGAACACAATGACTGATCTTGCTGCCAAGGCAGCACTCAACAAATCTGTACCACCACTTCTTCTTCCATACTCTGATTAAAAAGCTGTCATCAGATCTTATATCCGTGATCTGATGGAGAAGAAGTGGGACACCCAAGTAGGTATAAATAAATTGCATGAAATAAAACCCTATATTGGTTACACCTACTTGGGATGTCAGTCCAGATTTGAAGAGGTCATTATACGATGATGTCGTATTGAATACCTGTTAAAAGAGAGAGGATCTTTCCGTTTAGTATCCCTTTGTGATGAAAGAATCATTAAATATATATCATGAATACCTGTTAAAGGAGAGGATCTTCCGTTTGAATTTTTAAAGAAATATACTAGTTGATCAATTTTGATCAATTGATGATAAGAATCAATGGTAGTCAAGCCTTTGAGTGGCTGCCCTCACTGGGGGTTGCCGATGTGACTATAAATCTTAACATTCACTCTCTCACAGATTAAATGTCTAAATTTCAATCATTGAAGGGGACAGCGTTCAGGTAGCAAAAACTTATGGTCCCTAGCATGGTGGAGGTGATGAGCCCGTTTTGTATATTTATTTTACCATTTGTCTAATTTAGAAGCATGTAATTCTATAACTGTGTAGAATGACTTTCCCTGTCGACAGGTTGTATAAAATGTATTGTGTACACTTTAAATAAGTGATTGCCCCCTGCACTCTGTCAAGTAAGAAAACCAATGATTTTCTTGAGAAGCCCTGACCCCACCACCCCTTCTCATGATTTCTAGAAACCAATGCACCCTCCCCTTCTATGATTTTAAACATAATTTTAAATATTTTGTTATGTACAAAATTGCTGACACCCTCCCCATAGTACGTGTGTACAAAACTGATGACCCCCTAGCTCCCCAGAACAAATTGGGTGACCCCACCCCACCCCAAGACCTCACGCCACCCAAAAAAAACCCAACCCAACAAAACAAAAAACAACACCAACAAATAAAAACAACCACAAAAGAAACAAACCATAAAGTATATGATAGAGAAGAGCCAGAAATGCTGATAATTACCGTTGTTGTTCTGCATGTATTGCATCAGTCATGGCGTCACGTTGCACAGGGACTTTGACAATTTCGAATGAATATCTCAATTTACTGTATTGTATTTATTTCTAATTTCCTATTTCTTACTACGATACTGCTTTCATTCATATTCTTAAAGTATTGAGCCAATGCATGCAACACATTGATGAATGGATGTTTGAAAAAATGGTACGCAATGTAAGAACTGAATTTCTATTTGTTTTACATTTGAAACAAGCGCAGTCTTACAAGCACAGCGTTCGTTTTTGCACCCAATATGTTTCGTTTGATTTCAGCTGGACACTTGGTTTTGGCGTTCCTATGATTATATGTTATATAATGCTTTCTCTCTAGACAAGTTTTGAAACATTCTACTTCTGCGGCCGTGTACATGATACGCATGTGCGATTCAACAAAATCTTCAATTTTGTGGAAGCCGTGTGGAAGCATTGATATCTCACGTAATGCATTTACTCAAGACAATCTCAGGATAGTCTACTTCTGTGGCATGTACGCTAGACTCAGTGAAGTACAACACCGTGTACATAGGTTGTATGTGAGATTCAGAAATTTCATTATTTTCCACTCACAGCACTTTGGAGGATATATGTGGATATGTTTATATGTGGATATGTTTGTATGTGCGTGCGTGCGTGATTGCGTGCGTGCGTGTGTGTGCATGGGGTGCTCTGTAGGAACAGCCAGCCAAAAGTCCTTTTCAGGATAGCTTGGACTACTTTGGTTCCCACCTGACACTCAACTCCTTGAAGCTGTAGCATGAGAATGGCTACACCCCGGTAACCGCATTGGCTGGCGGGCTGAACCAGGTGGAGGGTAGCCGGTGGGGTCTCAACCCCTCCCAAAGCATGTGAAGACTGGCTCCGGCAGACTGCACGGACGAAACCACTCGACTGGTTCAACGGGCAGAATTCGGTGCCAGGACGGCGCCGTAGAGCGCAACTAGGGCACGGTGAAGACAGGAGCATGAATGCTGGCAATCCACTGCATTCCGGCCCCTCTCCAGCCGTCTCGACAACATCAGGCCACCGGACCCAGATGGACAGGGACGAGAGAGTGACGCCGACGACCATGCGCAACTCTCCCTCACTTTAATCCAAGTCAAGCGCAAGTCACGACTCCATCCCCATCACTTCACCTCTCATCCTCAGCCACTCTTCCCAAGTCCTGCAGCGATGGACGAGTGGACTTCGGCAGCCCCCTTGAGGACAGCACTGCTTACCGCCTAGCATAGGGACGGGACTAGAAAAGGTGTCCTAAACATTGCCTACCTCATTGCTCCCTGGCCAGCACGGGTCCCACCACAGCCGTAAGAAAAGAAACACCAAACCTATTTCATCTAAGATGACCTCACTCTCCTGGACCTACCGGGACTGACCAACCTGAGAGGGGGATCGCCCTCATTGCCAGCGAACTAGCTCGCTACAACATCCAGATTGCCGCCCTCAGTGAGACCCGTTTGTGGAGGAAGGACAACTGACAGAGCAGTCTGCCGGGTACATGTTCTTCTGGATCGGGCACGGGCAAGACAAGCGACGCAAGGCAGGTGTTGGTTTTGCCATCAATTCCAACCTGGTCAAGAAGCTGACAGCTCCACCCAAGGGGATCAATGATCGCCTGATGACCGCTCGCCTCCGGCTTCCCAAGAAGACATTTGCCACACAGGGCCTAGATTTTCGAAGCTCTCTTAGCGCTAAGACAGTCGTAAGTGCCATACATTAACATTAACTTACGACTATCTTAGCACAAAGAGAGCTTCGAAAATCTAGGCCCTGATCTGCTTCTACGCCCCCACCATGACTAACCCTGACGACTTGATGTACCGAGATGACAAAAGCTCATCGCTCTCGGTGACTTCAATGCCCGGGTCGGCAGAGACCAGTCATCATTGGAGGGAGTGCTAGGTAAACATGGCGTGGGCAACTGTAACAGCAACGGCCTCCTTCATCTGGAAACCTGCGCTGCACACAACCTTCTCATCACCAACACCGACTTCTGTCTTCACAACTGCAACAAGACATCGTGGATGCACCCGCGCTCTAAACATTGGCATCTACTGGACTACGTCATTGTCAGGCAAAGGGACAGACAGGAAGTGAGAGTCACAAAGACCGTGTGTGGAACAGAGTGCTGATATCCAAGATGAACCTATGCATCACACCACCCAGGAGGCCCCAAGGCTTCAAAGTCCCCGAGCGACCATGCTCAAGAGTGACCTTGTCAAATAAAAGCTGGTAGAGGAGCTTGACAGCAAGCTGCAACCTCCCAACACTGACATCGACGCCGATGTGGAGACAGTGGGCACGTCTCCGAGATGCTGTCTATGCTGCCCCCTCAGACGTTGTGGGATCCACTACCCTGAAACACCAGGACTGGTTTGACGACAACAACAGCCGTATCCCGACTCTACTGGAGGTAAAAAACCGACTCCACAGAGCACTTCTCAATGACCCCTCCTCCATCTCCAAGAAAGAAGCTTTCAACGCAGCCAAAAGAACAGCACAGACTGAGCTGCGCCACATGCAAGATGAATGGCTCAGTGAGAAGGCTGATGCCATCCAGGCATACGCTGACAGGAAGCACATGAAGAACTTCTACAGTGCCCTCAAGGCCGTCTACGGTCCCACCTCGTCCGGATCCTCTCCTCTCCTCTCGTTAGCGCCGATGGGAACACACTGATCTCGGACAAGGAAAAAATCCTTGAGTGCTGGGCGGAGCACTTCAACAGCATCCTCAACCGTCCATCGACCATCAACAATGAAGCCATCGACAGGCTGCCACAAGTCCCATTTGATGACACATTGGCAGAACCCCCCCTCTGAAGCAAAAGCCATCAAGCGCCTATCAACCGGCAATGGGCCTGGTACCGATTCCATCCCTGCTGAAATCTACACTTTCGGTGGCACAAAACTGATTGAGAATCTCACAAGCCTGTTCAATTCCAAGTGGTCCCAAGAAAAGTTGCCACAGGAACTCAAAGACGCTTCCATCATCGACCTCTACAAGCGCAAAGGGAACAGAAACACATGCAACAACCACCGTAGCATCTCTCTGCTGTCCATCGCTGGGAAGACCTTGACTCGAGTTCTGCTCAACTGCCTCAACACTCACCTGGAATTCGACCTGCTCCTTGTGAGAAAGTATGGATTTCGCCCAGGATGCAGCTCGCCAACTACAGATGTGTCGGGAGCAGAACGTCAGACTATACACCACCTTTGTGGATCTGACTGGGTGGGTAGGTGGGTAGGTAGGCATGCAATCCCAAAATTCCAAGTGTGAACTTTCTTTTCGTTCATCTTCAATAGGATGACTTGAGACATACATCGTCTACAGATGTTGGAACACAGTTACCTTACTCCGGTCCTCAGAGCATACTGGACACGTGGAGCACATTTCAAACATTTCAGCATCAGGGACACAACTAATGTAGAATATCCTCATTGAACTTATATCACATGTTCTTGTGTTTGTTCAGGCGAAGAGTTCGTTTGCCTTTGTGATGACAGTTTGTATATAATACAGTCTCAAACACTGGCATCGATCTACCCATTGGATTGGGGTTGTTGCTTTTGTTTAAAACCAAACTCAGAAATATTCCATCTCTATGACAGCAGTCTGTAAACTGTGATGTCCACCCAGTCTTACGACAACAATAGATTGCTGAAGACCAATTCTATCTGTATCTGCACAGGTCTTGACATATGAAGTAGCCTGTCCGTCTGATCCCGCTGGTCGGTACATAGTTGTTTGAAGATCGGGATCGTCACAGTATATGTATAGTCAAGTGTGCACTTTCTGTCATTTCCATATATACAATAACTTTCTAATTCAGAAGAAACATACAGGTTCTTCATTCCATGACTATGTCAACAATTACCATATATAATGTGATTTATGTTGTAGGAATATTGAACACTGGCGGCGCAGCATGGAAAGACATAAGAAAGTTCACTGTCACCACTCTCAGAGAATTGGGGATGGCAAGTTTAAACACTGAAGAGAAAATACAGCAAGAGTTGAATCTACTTTTGAAAGCTTTCGAAGACGAGGGTTCAAAGGAGTTTGATTGTAAACAACTGATTTACACTGCTACGTCCAATGTTATTTGTGGACTTTGTTTCGGAAAGCGCCATTATGAATACAATGACCCACGGTTCACTAGGCTGTCAAACACATTTGATGAAATATTTGGGGGCGCAGGAAATGTAACTATTGTCGATCTGCTTCCAGCTGTGAGATTGCTACCAGGAGATTTCTTTAACTATAAACGGCTTATGAGAAGCATAGAGGTAATGAAGAAAGAACTAGCTCGACTCGTTGAGGACCGCATCAACAACTATGACGAAGACAACATTCAAGATTTTGCCACAGCTTTCATCAAAGAGGTGCGACGCAGCAAGCAGGAAGACAAGGCGTTTGATGGTAAAGTCAATTACATATAATGGGAGGGTGTTTGATTTGTTTGATAACTGATGGATTTGTATGCAAATGGGAAACATACTTGTAAAGAAGGCGTTTAGAAACACCTTTCGTAGATGCGTATTATATAGCCATACTTCCAGCTAGGGTCCATGCAGGTAGCAAACGTACTGTAAGTCCCCATGGTCCCTAGTATGGTGATCTACCTTCAGTTGTTGGCGATCAAGAGCCTATTTTTACATTCTATTGCCCAAAACTAGTTTTCTACTTTAAAAGATATATGCTAGCTAGTTTTAACTCATTTTGTGAAAATCTAGAAGTTTTACTGTCCTTCGTTGACAGGGTTGTATATATTATATGTATGTATTATGAATTTAGAACTAGTTTTAGTCACGATATGGCTGAAATATTGCAGATGAGACTATAAATCTTAACTCACTCACTCACTCACTATAGTCATACTTGTACAACGAACTCTTAGCCTGCCGCTTTAAATTATTAATTTTAGACAGTCTCCTGTTTGTACCTTCATACTTAGAGTTAAATGAAATAATGAAAGTCACTCACGAAATCTACTGTCTTGCAATTTCCAACTGTTGCACTGTCTAAAGGAAAGGTAATATCATTTGTGTTTAGAAAGTCACCTGAAGATGACTCTGACAGATATCTTTATGGCGGGAACAACTGATGCTGGCAACAACCTCGTTTGGTCAATTCTATATCTACTCCACTACCCGGAAGTGCAGGAGAAGTGTTTCCAGCAAATCAAAGAACACATCGGGCTGGAGAGACGACCCACGATGCTGGACAAACCCAACCTTCCTTACGTTGAGGCTGTGTATTCAGAAATATTGAGACACGTGGATATGGTACCCACAGGAATGCCATATACAGTCCCCTGCGGTGTCAAGTTCATGGGCTACACGTTTCCTGAGGGTTTCACTATCATTCCCATGTTAAACTCAGTACTTCACGATCAGACGGCATGGGGGGATCCTCAAAATTTCAGACCGGAGCGTTTTCTGAATGATGAAGGAAAATTCCAAAAGAGGGAGGAATTCATGCCCTTTTCGATTGGTAAGAATGTTTGATTGATGATGTAAACTTTTGTCCTTTCTATCGTTCATGCTGCTACTACTCATAATGATAATAGGGATAAGGTCCTGTTTTGACAGGCAATTGGCAAGAATCAGGAAAAGTATGATAAATATATGTGGACCTTGCTTTTGAAATGTCTCGCTTTCATCGCAGGTTCACTGTTGCCAAGCTCTCAATTGTTCTCGGTGACCTTGGTTTTGTACCTCCTGATCTCTTGACGAAGATCAGGAGAGTGTTCGGGTTCTCTGGAGCACAGCCCTTCTGACACTCTTGGGGAGTCAACATATTCTCCAGAAAGTTCTTGGCCTGTTCGACTGGGCAGTGCTTTTTTTCGAGGACAAGGCTATTTGGGCGTATTATGATTGGACAAAGTACTGTGACTATGTGTCCCAGTCCACCCAGCGGTGGGTACCTCGTAAGGATGGGAAAGCCACATCAACTTAAAAGCATGCTGACTATGGGGACCTTGCCTTTGAAATATCTCGCCTGCATCCCAAGTACACTGTCGTCAGGCTCCTTATTGTTCTCTGCGGCCTTGGTTTGGTACCTCCTGATGTCTTGAACGTTCTTGATGTGTTGACTAAGCAGCACTTCCTGGGAGAAGGCCCATTCACTGACTGGGCTGTGTTTACAGGCAAACCAGGATAAGTTGGACTGGCGCAGAGAACGTGTTTATGAGAAGTAGGCGGTGCACGGCAATGAGCAAACCAATTTGGTTTGTGAAAGGTAGAGCAAATATAGGCTAGTGCACGTGCATTATATGACGATGAAATATATTCCGCGCGTAGCTGCACACGCCTTGTGCCTTGCTCCACCCATCGCACTACACTTGATCGCGGACAACCTGGGGCCCCTTCGCTAACAATGGCAAGTGCGCCAGTGGGCGGCACTCATACATGCTAATATGGGTCAATTGTAAGGTCGGTGCTCAACTTATCCTTGTTCGCCAGTAGGAGTGTAGAGGGAACAAGGGTACCTGTGCTAATGATGAGTGTTACAGGTTGTGCCAGGACAACCTCACTCTCTGCTGTACTTTATTTTACTGTGAAAAACATAACAATAACAAAAAGGGCCTGGTGATAAACGCTTCTCCGTGGTGGCCCTAGATAGGGACGGGTTATTCCCCTAAACCTCGCCAGGAGGTATCCCCCGATGTTAGTTCAATATTAGCTTATAGATCGTTATGTGAAGCATGAAAGGCTTTTCACAGTAAATATGCCAAGGATGCTGGACACAATCTTAATGTCAACGTTGGTTCTGTACTTGGGGACGGTAGACAAATTGGTGTCCACCAAGCAGCATCAGGGTTTCAGGGTAAGGCTGCACTTAATTTATGTGAAGTATGAAGAAAAAGATCAGTTCTGCCGAGTCATTTGATGGATGACGTCGGTTGGCCTGATAAGTAAAACAGAAGGATGGATAAAAAAGAAACACTGTGTTGTTAAAACCCATAACTATGATAAACAAAAGGTTATGTCATTTGTCTAGATCATGCAATAATAATTCTTGCATTTAATCTGTTTGACAGGACGCCGTGCTTGTGTTGGACAATCATTGTTCCGTATGGAACAATTCCTGATTCTGACCACCTTGATTCAGAGGTTCAAGTTCTTCCCTCCAAGTGGAACGCTGCCATTCCTGATTGGAATAGTGAGCATTGTCGACACTGCTCCTCCTTTCAAGTGCAAAGTCATACCAAGGAACATTTGAGAGGACCACCGTTTTAGAATCTTTATATGTCCTTGTACATTATGTTTTTGTGTGAAATGGTTTCCCATTTCTGTTATTGAGAATATTGAAATCTTGAACATTCGAAACTCCAATTTACACCAGTTGTAATCAGAAACGACTGACTGGGTCATCATACCCATGTACTCACATACCCCGTATGCTACGTCGATGTGTACGGTGTGAATATACGCATACTGCACTTTACATATTCAGGATAGCCTTCTTTATGCTTTCACCGCGGTTTTGTCAGTAGTTCAAATCAACCCACTCTTCCAACAATCAGGGCATAGTTTTCATTCTTTTCACTGTGCAAATCTTTTACTTCAAAACGTTATATCGAAAATGAAATAGGTTTGACGAGATACAGGACTATGTCAACGTTATACCCACCAGAATGTGGTCCATCAGATTACAAAGGCATAGAAGAGACAACATGTGTGTTTATCTAGCATAAACTGATGCATAAACGTATACTTGCATGCTCACCAACAGCAATGCTTCCTTAACATCGTAATCAGTTTTTGATTGTTTGATATTTGCCTTCCATGCAAAACTACATTCGGAAAATTAGAGACGTATATACTCATGCTGTTACTCACTGGATTGTCTGGTCCAGACTCGATTATTTACAGACCGCCGCCATATAGCTGGAATATTGCCGAGTGCGGCGTGAAACTAAACTCACTCCCTCACTTTGATTGTTTGATGTTTCACTTGCAAAACTACATTCGCAAAATTAGAGACTTTTACTTAAGTTCCTTTTCATTAATTACATAATCGGTGTGTGTTAAACTCCTACTCATTATATAGTGTATAGTAAGCATATAGTCTATAATTCACTCAGCTTGTATGAGTTTTTTGGAATGGGTTTTCTTACATATATTCAGGTAGAAAGTGGTATGTAAAATATCTTTTGCACTTGCATGCACTTTGACATGTGTATTGTCAGACGTGGACGTTTATGCCTGTATGAATACTTTGCCTTGTAATTATAAAGTCTTATGTTTCACTGTGTTCTTACCATCAATAACCATGAAATAGTCAATTCCTTTCCAGGCACTCGTGAAGAGCCACCTCCTCGTGGTGGGTGCTGGGTAACGCCAAGAGCTCTTCAACCCCCTTAAAAAAACAAAACGTCCACTTGACACTGATCCAGATGGTAACGACCAACGACTGTCCACATTCATTGATTACTGGCCACGTTTTCTCGTGATTGAGACTCAAGAAAACACACGATTAAAGTTGAACCCTTTTGCAATACAGAAAGGCATTGCTGGTGACGTTAAAAATATCAAACGTTTACGTTTAGGTGCATTGCTCGAAGAGTGCAGCAAAAGACAACAGGCAACTAACATGATGACTACTGAAACATTCGTCAGCATTCCAGTATCAGTATCTCCTCATAGAACACTTAACACCAGCAAAGGAATGATCAGAGATAGAGATCGACTGTTTGCCGACATGTCTGAACTTGATATTGTTTCAGAAATGAAAGATCAAGGGGTGACATACGTTAAGCGTTTTACAACACGTAAAACCAGGAAAGCGTTCAGACTAATACGTACCTGTTTTCGTTTTCCTCTCCAAATGCTCCCAGATCAGTAAAGGCGGGATATTGTCACATTAATGTTGACACCTACATACCAAATCCTTTAAGGTGTTTTAAATGCCAGAAGTTTGGTCATGGTGTTAGTACTTGCACATTGTCTGTTGTGTGTGCTCACTGTGGTGAGAAGACACATACAACAGAGGATTGTGACAGTGACTTTAAGAAATGTACCAACCGTGCAGGCAATCACTCATCAAAGATTGTCCGATCTGAAAACAGCAGATGGAGATCAATAAGATAAAGTACACCCAAAACATTAGTTTTACTGATGCCTAAAAGCTTGTCTTAAGATCTGAAATTAAGGAAACCTATGCATCCATAGCCAAAACATCGTCTGATTCAACTCCTCCAATAGCCAAATCATCTGTAAGCTGTCAGACGAATTTAACTTGGCTCAAAACCCACCCTCTTAAGATTTTGTCACCTGCTATGTCTACACAAACTGCGGAACCACTTCCTGTCACGGCCCAAATCCAAGCAGAACCATCTTATGATCGTGACACATTTTCCCAGTCAACTCGGAGGTCTCAATCTAACACAAACGTCAAAAGCAAAAGCACACCGAAGCCGGATTCTTCAAAAAACAAAGTGGCACAGCCCCAAAAGGGTCAGATGATAAAATTAAGTTATTTAACAAATACGGATCACCTGAGGACATGGACGTGTCCGAAAACGTCTATTCTAGGGCACACAGCTTGTCGCCCTCGAAAAAGGTGCGGGGTAGATCCCCAACTAATCCACCTAAAAGATAGGTCTTTCTAAAAATATCGTGCAGTGGAATTGTAGAGGACTACGGACCAATTTTAATTAAATACATCCAATCATCCAGGATTTAACACCATCAACCTTCTGTCTGCAAGAAACGTATCTCAAACTGACAGATAATTTTAGTTTACGTCAGTTTGAGGCCTATCATTATTTTTCCCCTCTGGGTAATCGGGCCACTGCAGGTTCTACTATCCTTATACGACAGGATGTTATTCACAGTGCTGTTCACACTTAACACTAATCTCAAAGCTGTTACAGTGCGACTTACTCTGGGTGTAGCATTTACATTATGCTCTCTATATATTCCGCCTTCATCGGCACTCCAGCAGACCGATCTTCAATCACTCTATGATCAACTCCCGAAGCCCTGTGTTATTATGGGTGACCTAACCGGTCGCAACCCGCTCAGAGAATAAAAGGCAAAGGTTCAAAATCTGCTGTTCACCATCTTAAAGATGGCGATAATTTAATAACTGACAAATCTAAATTGCAAATAAAATTGGCGAAACTCTTGCCAAACATCCATCATCGGCAAATTATTTTCCTGAGTTTCAGAGATATCAGAAACAACAGGAAAAGACAAAACTTAATTTCGAATCAAATAACGGTGAAGATTATAATGAAGTGTTTTCATTACATGAGCTACATATCTCTTGAGCAAGCATCATGACACTGCAGTGGGTGATGACAATATACATTACCAGCTACTGAAACACTTACCTGAACCAAGTCTGATGACACTTTTAGATATACTAGCCACATAAAGAAACTGTGCACACAGAAAATGCCTTCAGAATTGGAATACAACACAGCAAAGACGAAATGATGTAGACACTTTATAAGCTGAAGTATCGGACCACAAGAAATTGTCAAAAGAACATGAACAATATCCGTAACGATGACGTCAGAAGTTCAAAATCGAGTAGGGGGTCACATGACGAAGTCGCAAAATCAATAACGGGTATGACCACACTGTACGTGAAGCACAGCAGTGCAACGACGACGCATAGAGGCTACCAAATGAGCATTGGAGGCCTGGGAAATGGTCTGGGGCGTGGTCACTGCTGTCTGGAACCTGTATCTGAGATGAGTCACCCGAATCCACCTGTCCTGTCTTGGCGTCGTTACGTCGGGAACGCCGAGAACGTGGGTGGTCGGCGACGTCATTACTGTTTCGATAACGCCTGACCCATGCAGATGTCATGTTACGATGGCATTGGAAATGTGCTGCCACCTGTTGTTGGCTCATTCCTGCTCGAACCAGTCCAATGGCTTCATGACGTTGAGCAGATGTTAATCTTGGCACGATGTGCATGTGACTTCTCATGTGGATTTGTGAACGCTTAAATGACCAAAGATCAAGCTTTCGACAGTGACAGCAATTTCACATGTTGTGTGCATCTGTACGGGCTGCACGTGCAGTAACATATTGCAAGGCCATACGCCACCGTCAATGACGTCACGTCGCCTGGCACGTGCATGAGCGTTTGATTGTCTCCAATACTTGCTTTGTTCACAAATGTATTTATGTATAAATACTCTGTGAGCCTTTATTTATATTTTCTGTGTGCACAGTTTCTTTATGTGGCCAGTATATATTTGACCAAATATGGGCGTCTGGAGAATTTCCTCCATGGCGTAATGCCATTGTAATCCCAATACCAAAACCTGGCCGAGACCATACAGATCCATCGAATTACAGCTGTGTCTGTAAACCATGGAGAGAATGGTGAATAATAGATTAACTTGGTATCTTGAAACCAATAACCTTATATCAAATATCCAATGTGGTTTCAGGAAAAATCGTAGTACCATTGATCATTTGATACGATTAGAAACCTTTGTTGAAAATGCAATACTAACTAAACAACATGCAGTATCAATTTTCTATGATCTCGTGAAAGCTTATGATACGACCTGGAAGCATGGCATTTTGAAGGATTTACATGTCTTTGGTTTGAGGGGTCGTTTACCTCTTTTTATATCACAGTTTTTAAGAAACAGGCAATTTCAAGTCCGAGTGGGTTCGACCCTGTCTGACCATTACAATCAAGATCATGGTGTCCAACAAGACAGTATTTTGTCTGTCACTTAATTAGTATCAAGATCAAAAGTTTATCCAACGTTTTAAACGATTCAATCGATGGATCACTTTTTGTGGATGATTTCAATATTTCTTGTCGTGGTAAATATATGCATACTATTGAACAGCAATTGCAGTTGTGTTTAGATAAAAGAAATAAATGGTGTCTTGAAAACGGCTTTAAATTTTCCAAGTCCAAAACTAATTGTCTACACTTTAGTAGAAAATATAAGCCACATAAAGACCCAAAACTGTCTTGAAATGGCACTCCCATCAAAGTTGTCAAGGAGGCCAAGTTTTGGGTCTAATTTTCGACACCCATTTAACTCTTTTGCCGCATATTAAACCCCTTAAAGCCAATTGCCTGAAGGCCTTGATTTGTTGAAAGTTGTTTCCAACTCAAAGTGGGGAGGGGATCAAGCTACACTGTTCCACCTATATCGATCATTGCTCCGCTCGAAACTTGATTATGGCTCCTTCGTATATGGTGGAGCCTGCAAAAGCACCCTAAAACTACTTGATTCTGTCTCCCACCAAGGCCTCAGACTTTGTCTTGGGTCCTTTAGAACCTCTCCTATTGATAGTCTCTATGTCGAGGCCGATGAGCCATCTCTTACACAACGCCGTATAAAACTATCTTTACAATATATTACAAAACTATATATTCCAACCAGTCTTAACAGTGCACATAACTGTATCTTCAATCCCGTCTATGAGGATTTATACAACAAAAAAATCTTCTCTTGTTCCGCTTCTTGGGTTAAGAATTAAACCAGTCCTGTCT